CGGAAAATCTGGCTTGTAGTAACAGATGACTTCACAGCAGAACATGAAACACCATAAAAAGGACACTCAAAATAGTACATTCTTTAACATCTTAATTTCCGTTTTTGTTTTCGCATCAATCAATATCAAAAGGTAGAAAATAGCGTACAGCTCTGCACATCATCGAAACAAGCACAGATTCCGGATGACCACTGGCCGGGGTCACTTTTAATGCCTTGTGTAGAAGGTACAACAACTGATGCAGGGGGTACAGAATCTGTCTCCACATCTGATTGTCCCAGAGGGATATAAGCTGGGGGCACGTATTTATCCCGGGCCACCATTGGACCTTGAAAGCACAGAGTTTACACGATATATCGCAATCCTGCTTAAACAGCAATCTGCAGCATAAGAAAGAGAAGGCCCATTTTTACATTCCTTATTCTTGATTTTTTTTTTCTCTTTTTCATTAAAATATTCAGGCCGAAAACTTTTCAATCCCAAACAAGTACATCTTTTTAAAAAAAAATTCTGCAATACGACATCTGAAACACGTGTTAATGTCAATGATCCAGTAAAATCTACGTCACACAATTAAGGAGAGTGTATTCAATTGAGATTTTTAAGGACTTTTTAAAACTTTTTAAATTTGATGACTTTTGTGGACTTTGTAGAACTTTCATGACTTTGGTGGACTTTTGAGACTTTCAGAAAATTTTCATTAGTGACTTTTCAAGACTTTCATAATGGACTTTTTAAAACTTATTGAGACTTTTATATACTTGCAGTTATAATATTATGTTTGAATAAAATGTTAATAAACGTAACATAATAAGCAATATAAACAAGAATAAATGAAAAAAGATGTTGTATATATTAATCCTCTAAATTTTATGCGAAATGAGTTATTCACGAACAAATTGTTTAGGATTTTAAATTTATTAAACGAGTAAATCGATCAGCTTCAACGAGTCGAATTGAGCAGGGCCTTATATTTGTTTGTTAAAAGAGTACAAGCTCAAATATGTGCTAGATATCTCTGCTATAACGACACTTATAATCAACCCAAATTAAGATATATTTATTTAATTATTGATTGATTTTATTCAATATTTTTTTGCATAATGTTGTTATATTAGAAAAATATTATTAGGATATATTTTTACAACATACAAACATTGCCAAAAAACAGTAATTGTATCTTATAAAATTATCAAAATTCAGAACATTTCAATTATTATCAAATAAACTATTAGAAAATAAAATAATTTTTTTAATATTTTGAAATAAACATTTACAAATAAAAAGAAAGAACAAATAAATTATTTGCAAGTGCAACTATGGAAGCATTAACCTTTGAAAAGTCAAATTCACAAGATAGCAAAATGAGAGAATAAAGGTATACACACATAAAATAAGCATAATAAAGAATATATAAAATAAAAAGATCACATTACGTAATGAAAATAAAAATTACACAAGGTATCAAAATAAATAAGTAAATAATAGAGCATGAAAATGATATGAGATACAAAGTCATGTTAGAAAGAAAAAAAAAAACGAAAGAGAGCGTGAAAGAGTTACATAAGTCCAGCAAAATCTCACCAATATTGATGAGATTTCTGTTGAGACTTTTCCTTTGTAATTTTGTTACAAAAGTCTCTAAAAGTCTCAAAATTTACAAAGTCTCACAAAGTCATTTTGTTTTGAATACCGGGTGACTTATAAAGACTCTCAAAATGTTTTAATTGAATACCCTGAGACTTTTGGAGACTTATTAAAAGTCATTAAAAGTCTCAATTGAATACATGTAAACTTTTCAAAAGTCTTTAAAAGTTCTAATTGAATACACCAGAATTCTAAAAGTTTTAAAAAGTCTCTAAAAGTTGAAATTGAATACAACCCCCTAAGTCTCGAAATATCGATGCTTGAGATCATTTGATTCGATAGCCAATCTCGCAGTTTCGTTAGGAGCTCTACTGATGACAGGGTGTTTGCTTGAGTCAATAAACACTTGAAATCATCTTACAACATACATGGCTAGGAACTAATGAGATATCTTAAAGAAAAATCAATCCAGGTTGAGATTTTTTTTAAATTCAATCTTCTTCAATCAATATCAAAATCCCCAATTTGGCCAGAAATGAAAGAAAAGTAATGCAGAATTACAATCATCTTTACCAAACAGGGACAAGGGATATAGCAGGAAAAAAATATCTTGATTCAACTTTAAACAGCACAATCGCACACGCAGCGTTTACCTAAATCGTCACCCCCAACACAATAAAATTAAAGCTCCATTAATTAAACATTCGAGATCAACAAAATTACCAAAAATTAGGGCAAGAAATTAATGAAGATGACAAATTGCATTATGATTCTTGGATCAAGAAACGCAGAAAAGGGAAATAAAAACACAATATAATAACTGTAGAACTCGAAAAAGGGCACCGACCTAGGCGAAGAACTTCCGATGAAGCCGTCGATGGAAGAGGAAAAATCTACTTACATGGAGTAAGTTTAAATGCCGGGCTCAACAAAAAAATCACTTTTTGTATGTGGGTTTTGTTTTATGGGAGCACAAAAGCTGAATTGCAGAAGATTATTTTGGTGGAGAAAGGAGATTGTAGAAAGCTCTTGATAAATTCTACAAATTGCATGCGTTGTTAATTGAAAATATAAATGTATGACCAATGCTACAAGTATATAATAGTACAGATGAATGCTCTCTTACTTACGGTGGACATATTTTAATATGTCCACTGCGTATGTGGCATACACTAATTGATGATATTAATATGTTTTAAAAAATACATCACCAATGAGTATATGCCACCTACGCGGTGGGCATATTAACATGTGTCCACCGTGGGTAGGTGAACATTTCTCAAGGTGTACATAACACTTATATTGAGTGGGACCACTAAAAATATAAAATCAAGTGAACTCTATTCTATTTGAATGTTATGTACACTTTTATATATACTAGTAAAATGCACGTGCGATGCACGTGGTGACAAATGTATTTTGCCACTTAAATTTTGTTAAAGAAATTACTTAATTTATTAAACATATCCTTGCAGGAACTAAATTGAATGTAAAACGAAAAGGCTTGTAATGATTTTTTTTTTTTTCAAAATAACATAATGATATCCTAATACAAAAAGAATAAGATAACATATTACAACTCCAACAAAAATATATAAAACCCTAGTCCTATCAATGGGAAAAAAAAAACTAAATAACAAGTTGCATTAGCTCTTTTATTTATTTATGCCAAATGATTCTAGCGTGGTTTCCTTTCAGTTAGATTTTGAAGTTTCCATAATAAACATTCATGCCGGTTGAAACTCAATATATCAATAGTACTGCAAATTTTTTTGTTAATTCATTTAGCAAAAACGTCTTTGATCAGACTCCGACATTCCCTTTTCAATGTTATTTATTTGGAAAAT